GGTATGCTTGGGATCATTGTCCTGTTGAAAGGTCCAACGTCTCCCAAGCCTCAGGTGTGTGACGGACTGCATCACGTTTCCATCCAAGATCTCCTGGTACTGAAGAGAATTCATGGTACCTTGCACACGCTGAAGCTTCCCTGTACCTGCAGAAGCAAAACAGCCCCAAAGCATGATTGACCCTCCACCATGCTTCACAGTAGGCAAGGTGTTCTTTTCATCATAGGCCTTGTTCTTCCTCCTCCAAACATAGCGTTGATCCATGGGCCCAAACAGTTCTAATTTTGTTTCATCAGTCCACAGAACACTATCCCACAACTTTTGTGGTTTGTCCACATGGCTTTTGGCATACTGCAGTCGACTCTTCTTATTCTTTGGAGACAGCAAGGGGGTACGCCTGGGAGTTCTGGCACGGAGGCCTTCATTACGCAGTGTGCGTCTTATTGTCTGGGCTGAAACTTCTGTACCCACATCTGACAAATCTTTTCTCAGTTCCTCAGCAGTCACACGGGGACTTCTCTCCACTCTACGCTTCAGGTAGCGCACAGCAGTCGAAGTCAGCATCTTCTTTCTGCCACGACCAGGTAGCGTTTCAACAGTGCCCTTTGCCTTGAATTTGCGAATGATGCTTCCTAAGGTGTCTCTTGGTATGTTTAAACATCTTTGCAATCTTCTTATAGCCATTGCCCTTCCTGTGAAGAGAAATCACCTCTTCTCTTGTCTTCCTGGACCATTCTCTTGCCTTCACCATGTTTGTAACCACACCAGTAAATGTCTAGAAGGAGCTGAGTATCACAGTCATTTTAAAGCTGCCTAATTGGTGCTTATTATGCTTGATTGCTGCTCGGTGACATCCACAGGTGTTTTCAATACCTGATGGAAAGCACTCCGTATGAACCTCTGTATGATCCACAGTGTAAATAAACTCTGTTCTTCAGAGTGGTAGTCTTTAAGGGGTTGAATAATTGTGGCAATGAAGAAACCACATAAGAACCATTTACTACTGTATTACATAAACAATTGATGTCATTTTAGTTGCATTTGGGTAGTTACAACGTCCTTGTAGGATTTGATTCTGAATACAATTCCAAATGTACACTATAGTCCCTAAACCCCTTTACAGCATTGGGGGTTGAATAATTTTGGTCACAACTGTATAATATAACCCCTTCCCCTGGGTAGTCTGCAGCACCTCAAGCCGTCCTCCAGAATGGGCTCTGTATTGGTATCTGCTCATAAAGAGCCCTCCTGCCTGCTCCCTCTGCAGCATCTCACAACAATTGGAAATCCTTGAGAAAGCAATCACACCTGTTAAAACTTTGAGTGCCATCAAGGGCCTGAAGTTGCGTAAGCGCCCAGGCCCGGACGGCTTCTCCACCGCCTACTATAAGAAATTTGCTCACCTGCTTTCCCCAGTCTTAGCAAATGCCTTCAGTGCCATCCTTGTGGGTCAATCCTTTAGACACAAAGTGTGACGGCCACTATCTCCATGATCCCAAAACCCTGCAGACGACTCGGTATGGTCCAACTATAGGCCCACTTCCCTCAATATTGACATTAAACTCCTTGTGAAAATCCTTTCCACCTGCCTTAACCCATTTATAGGCTCTCTAGTCCACAGCGATCAAGTAGGCTTCATACCCTCATGCCAAGCGGGTGACAATGTAAGACACATGGTTCTCCTATCATACCCATACTCGCAACATCCCCACCTGCTACTTGTCCTTGGATATTAGGAAGACCTTTAACACGGTCTCATGGCCTTACCTTAACTTCATTCTACGTTGCTGGGGTTTTGGACTCACTTTCTGTCATGGAATTCCTCCTTGTACTGTGAACCATTGGCCTGTGTTATATACTTGGGGCACAAGTCGGCCACGTTTCCAATTGTATGGGGCACCCGCCAAGGTTGCCCGCTTTCTCTGTTACTCTTAGACCTAGCCATCGAACCATTGGCCCTCCTAATAAGAGCCGACCCTGATATACGTGGACTTGCGTTGCGAGGTTCTCATCATAAGCTTTGTCTCTTTGCGAAAAGACGTGTTCCTCTTTCTCACCTCCCCACTGACTTCCACTCCAACGCCTTCAGAATTTTGGCCACATTTCCGGCCTTCATGTTAACCCCATGTTAACCCCCAGAAGTCGATAGCATTAAATATCTCCCTACCCCTTCAGGAGCTGACCCACTGGCAACAGGTTCAGCCATTTGCCTGGTCCCAACACTCCATTCCCTATCTAGGCGTTAAGCTGACGGCTAACTCGTCGAGCCTTTATTCTGCCAATTACCTACCTATGCTAGCCCACCTTACTAGCCTCATGACCAAATGGTCCTCCCTGCCATTGGCATGGATGGGTAGAATCACAGTAGGGAAAATGTCCACTCTTCCCAAAATCCTATACTTGTTCAGAGTTCTGCCTATTCCAGTGCCGGCACACTTCCTCTGCATTTTGCAGCGACGAGCTTTTGAATACATCTAGGGTTCCATCTGCCCTCGCATTCCTCGACTGACCATACATAAACCCAAGCTTTTGGGCAGTCTGGGTCTCCCAGATTATACCATTACCAAGCTGTGCATCTTGCACAATTGCCTAAATACCATACGGCACACAAAACCCTTCAATGGGTTGTAATTGAATCGGTTGATTGTGACCCTCTCTCAGTCGCTAACCTCCTATAGCTTAGGCATCCAGATCGTCAGCCGCTTTGTAACCCAACGTATCATTACGTTTTGCCCTGGGACAAACTAAAGTCCTGTTATTCTCTCCAGTCGTGCACAACCCCCTATTTTCATACCTTCGGAATCCGGCTTTCCCCCCAGCCTGGTCCTCTCCACGCTGCTTCATGCATTGGTCTTCAGCAAACTTGCTCCACGTCCATAACTTTTTGACCAATAAGAGCCTCAAGTCTTTTCTTCAGTAAATCCCACTCTATACTGGCGTCGGAAAACTTTAGATAGCTCCAGCTGAGACATTTTTATGCCCCGCTCACTGCTCAACTCTATTCGGCCCGATCTATGACATTTTTCAAACGCTCTTGCTACAGGACCCTCACAGGAGAGGCCTTATCTCTGCCCTCTATAACCTCCTTTCAACCCCTGAATCTTCGCCAAGCCCTACTTATGTCACTAAGTGAGAGAAAGATCTTGGACATCAATTGAGTCCTACAGATTGGGAACGCATCTGGTTGGCTACCAAATCCTCCTCGCAGAACGTAATAGCTGTAGAGACTAATTAAAATGTATTGACCCGATGGTAATTGGTCCCGGCGAGGATTACTAAATATATCCCGGTTATTCCCCTAATTGTTTTTGGGGCTGTGTGGTGGTAGGAACATATTTTCATATTTGGTGGTCTTGCCGATAGCCCAAGCTTTTTGGGCCAAAATTGTTCATAAGCTGTCCTTGCTCTTTGCAAAGCCACTGTCGCCAGACCCAATCATAGTCCTGCTAAACCTTCACCCTCCATCCATATCTAAATCCCAATTCAAGCTTCTCCTGCAAGTCACCACGGCAGCTAAGCAAATTATGGCCAAATCATGGAAGTTGCCATCCCTATGTATTCTATTAGAAACAAGGTAAAGCAAGCTATGATTCACGGCAAAGTGGAAGTAACCATTAGGGACTCTGTCACCAAATTTCTAAAGATCTGGAACCCCTGGGTGGAACGTTTCCTCTCACCGAATTTTGACGATTCCCTGTTCCTCCCTTAACATTTTTTTTTTCTTTAGTCTCACCCTATGATGGTTCTACATGCCATTTCCTACACTGGTCCGGTCCCAAACTACCCCTTCTCTATTGGAAATCACACACCCCTCTCCCACTCCTCTGTTCCCTTTCTTGGTCTCCTTTATTCTTTCCTTCCTCTTTAACTTGCTCCCATTTTTTTATTTCTTCCTACACTTTGCATGGCACCTATAGGTAGTTCTGAGGTGCAGTACACCCTAGTTAAACCATAACCCTGCTTTACGCCCCTTTGTATTGCATTTTTTCCAAATGTTTCATTGTGGTTCCCAGTTGTATGTTTTCACATGACGCTTTTCTCCTTACCTTTAGGCAACATGTTCTCCAGTACTTCTGTATATGTGTTTACATGTCCTAAGCAGAAAATTAAATTTCTGGGAGGCATTCTGTACACCATCTGTGTGCAGAATGCCTCCAGGTAGCTGTATTGCATTTTATACAAAATTACAGAACTGCAGTGTAAAAGGGAAATTTAATTTTTAAGAACATTCAATTACAATATGACCTGTGTACACTCTACTATTTATTTCAGGTACTTATACACACACACTGTACATTCGCATCAGTCCCTAACCCTCAAGGGGCGTATAATCTAAGGTCCCTAGCTCACACTCATGCATATCCATACTAGGGCTAATTTAGACAGGAACCAATTAACCTACCAGCATATCTTTGTAATGTAGGAGGAAACCAGAGTACCTGGAGGAAACCCACACAGGCACAGGGAGAACATGCAAACTTCAGGCAGGTGGTGCCGTGGTTGGGATTCGAACCAACAACCCTAGTACTGCCAGGCAAAAATGCTAACCATTTAGCCACTGTGCTGCACTATTTTTTTTTCTTTTCCCCATGAAAGTGGAGTTACCCTTTAAAGTGGGTTTTGCATTCCCAAAGACTTGCATAGGAATGCAAATTCCATCTGAATAGAACAAAAGCCTGCTGACACAGGCCCTAAGAGTTAGGTGGTGTGTTAGCATCCAGTGATCTTCTGACCTCCATCCAGAGTAAAACAGCTTTTGTTTAAGCCAATAAAAGAAAAATATTTTTGCTTTCAGTAGTCTTATATCAAAAATTAACATGCGTACAAACAGCACTAAAAAGTACCACCAGATAAAAAAAAAAAAAAAAAAAAACAGAAACTCTTTTGAACAAGGGTTATAAGCAAACCTAATTTGGAAAACTATTTTACAAACATCAAATATGTTTTACTTTATGAATTTTGTAAATAACTTCAAAACATCCATCCTGAAAAGTCAAGGCCTAATCTTCATCTTCCTCATCAAAAGACAGCAAACTGCTATTTCGAACTTGTTTCTGGCTGGATTTGCTGGATGATTCCTGGTTTTCTTCCGGCTTCTTCTTCTTGCTTGAAGTTGCATTTATACCTGAAAATTTGCTATCAGTGGTGCGTTTAACTGGCTTTCTGAACAGGATCTTTCCATCAGCAGGGACTGGATCATCATCTACATGAATGAAGAGATGATTTAAACATTTGGTGTGATTTGTAATTATAATCTGCTTGATACAGTTCTTCGAGTCTTAGTTAGAAAAACAGATGCTGTAACAGATATCTTTGTAAAAATGTTTAGTACTGATAAGATGATCTTTACCATCAGAGCCACTATTGGGATACCAATGGTCCTCCCGTATCAGGGCCGGGCCAGCAGTGGGAATTGGATGTGGGCAGGAAAGGCGATGGGCGCAGCTGGGGGCAATTACTATACTGATCCCCTGTAGTATTGTCTCTGCAGCAGCTGAAAGCTGGCTTCCCATCCTCTTCTTTCAGCTGCTGCAGAAAGACCGATACAGGGGATAGGTTGTACTAATTTCCCCCCTCCCCCACCACACTGATCACCCTACCTGTGCACCATCCTCTTCGCCATGCTTCCTGCGCCCCCCTCCCCGTGTGCACCCCTCCAGTTCCCCACAGCGTCTCTGGCTTCCCTCCTCTCCCACAGGCACACAGGGGGATGTTTCAGGAAGAAGTGTAGGGGAAAGGGCCAGTATATATGTTACGGACAGTGATTTTTGAATGGATGTAGAGAACAGATGGCTTTAAATAAACAGGTACAACTTACGTAGGATCACCTGAGGCCAGTCACTTCACTGGGTATTTGCAAAGGTTACAACCACTTTAACTTTGTATAGTTAATTTGGACTAAGCTGGGTGAAACAAGCTATTTACGGCACCAACAGTTGCAGCGGCTGGGAAGGCTGTATAAACTGTATGTAGCCTCAGTTACATTCAGTATATTGCGCTGTATTGCAACAGCAGGACAAGACCTTGCCATCCCACGCAGGTAACAGAATTGAGGCAAGTTGAGCACTGCTCAACCAGTCAGAGGTAGCTTTGTATTCTATGAATGAATACAAAGCTTCATCTAATTGGCTGGGCCAGAGAGGCAGGCTGATGACTTAATGATCTCCACCTCAGCCAATTATAGGAAGCTTTGTATTCATTCATAGTTTCCTCTAAATCGCTGAGCTGTTTCCCCCCGCATTGTCAAGGTCCTACCTTTTCCCTGAGGTTATGTTACTCCATGTGCTAGCGTCCATCTTGGATTCTGCTGTGCATGGTGGGAATCCTTTTATGCCTTCAGGTCTCTGAGGTCCATCCCCCAGAGGGGTGTGGCTGATGATATATAAGCCTGTGGCCCGCACATGCTCTTTGCACTTGTGTCTTTGTCTTGCTACAGCTCTGTGTATATGCTCATGACTCTTCTGGTATTTGACTCGGCTTGTGACCTGACCATTCTCTGTGTTTTCCTGCGATCTGACCCTCCGTTGCTGAACCCGGCCCGTGACCTGTTATTCTCTGTCTACTGTTCTGTACCGTTTTGTCCCGTTGTTGTCGACCCGGCTTGCCTGATTACGCTATTGTCATTCTCACCAGCTACACGCTATTGGCGGCGGCCATTACCGCAGCCGGGGTGTCTCGGGGCCGCGACCTGGTTCCTGGCTGCGTCAAGTCCATCCCCACCATCAGGGGCCCTGGTGAAGGGCAGCCTGGGACTTAGACTCCGCGCCCTGAGGGACTTCGGTCTGTTGGTGGTGGTTGTCGTCAGCCAGTGCGTTACCCTGCCACTAGGCCTACCTGTCCGTTCCACAGCCCTGCCCTGACACGCATGCTGCACAGATCACATGATCACAGAGTCAACAAAATCACAGATCACTAGTGATCACACCTGTGATGAATGGTTAAGTTGAAAACTCGCAAAGTCTCATAACATTTAGTTTCATAGTGGCCAGGATCATGGTAGCGAGATCTTGGAAATCTCCAGTGATCCCTTTTGATCTCGTAAAGTCTAAATTGTCCTATATAATGCTGAATGAATGCCTCTCAAGCCATTCTGCAGCAGAAGATATCAAACTTTGAAAGAATTTGGGAACCTTGGATTAACTACCTTGAAAATGGGTCGTGGATGGGTGTTCCAGCATGACAATGACCCAAAACACATGGCTAAGGCAACAAAGGAGTGGCTCAAGAAGAAGCACATTAAGGTCCTGGAGTGGCCTAGCCAGTCTCCAGACCTTAATCCGATTGAAAATCTGTGGAGGGAGCTGAAAGTTCGAGTTGCCAAACGTCAGCCACCAAACTTTAATATCTTGGAGAGGATCTGCCAAGAGGAGTGGGCCAAAATCCCTCCTGAGATGTGTGCAAACCTGGTGGCCAACTACAGGAAACGTCTCACCTCTGTGATTGCCAATAAGGGATTTGCCACCAAGTACCAAGTCATAATTTTATGCACAAGAATGTAAAATAATGTACGTATCATATCTTGATACTCTCTTTTAATTTGTACAGATTTGTACCAATTTGTATTACTGTGTTGGGGAAGAAAAAAAAAAAAAACTCAAAAATTAATGGAAAACAAAAAAAAAAAAATTTACTTATTTTTTTTAAACATTGTCACCAGTCAGTATTCCTCATTACTGCCACAACAGTCATATGATGGTGCTGTACTGCACTTGTGACAGTGCAGTGTGTGTAATGTATATATATTAAAGTCAGTTAAAGTAGAGCAGTGCTGAATAGCAAAACATGCCCTGGTCATGAAGGGACAAAATCTTCTGGAGCTCAAGTGCTTATAAAGCCCTCTCAGCTGCTGCAACTGTTAGTGAAGTAAAAACAGTTTGTTTGTACAAGCTTAGTTAAGTTAATGAAACCAGGAGATTGGCTTTAAATCAATGCTGCAGCTAACGATGCATGTAGGGATTTGATCATCCTACATTTCCATTATACATCATGTGTGGCAACTTTAGCATTACTCCCTAGGAGCGTAATCATGCAGCAATGGCTTGTTAATAGTGCAGCAAACAGCTTTGATCCTTTGATAAAGAACAGAATGTTTATGAACAAGGATAGAATAGATATGTTCAAAACTGTAAAATACAGCACAAATTGACTAACCGTAACAAAAATATTTACTAACCTTTTGAATTTTCTTTAATTTGTTGTTTAATTTTCATAACCTCATCTTCTGAAAGGTCACCTTTCTTAAGCACTACAACTTGTGGCTGTTCATCCTCCTTGTCACTGCCATCACTGTCATCTGCTACAGTAGGAAGGTCCTGCCGCTGATGGGAGAACATTTTAGAACAAAAAAAAAGAACATGTTATACCAGCCATTCTGTAGAAGCACCGCTTTAAAGAATGCATAATAAAGAATTGCATCTGTTTACCTGAAGATCCACATACTAAGATTTACAGTTAGGACATATTTCACACCAAGTCATTATTCTTTCTTCTAATTATCCACACTACAGGAATATATTTGGATTTGGTTTTCCTATTTCCATGAGATAGCAGACATTCCTAATTGCAACCTTTGCTGAGTAGAGACCATTCATCTCTGACCTTTTTAAATGCATCATTGCAAGTTATTCTGTGGACCTGGATGGAATGTGCTACACTGTGTGCATAATCTTTACTATGAACATATTTCTTATTCTCGGAGGACAACCAGTGCCACAAATGCACTACTCTTTGCTAGTCAATAGCTGCCCCCTTGCCGACTATGTGTACGATGCAGGACTGGCGATCATAAATACTACCCAAGGCTGTTAAAACCTGCTCACAATCCAGGGCCGGAGATCATGCAAGTCCTGGCTGCAGTGGTAATGAGGAATAAGGCAAGTATCCCTCTCTGTTTATTCCCTACAGTAAATGAGCAATAAAGTCTAATGATAGCCATACATAGCTTGATTTCTCTTGCTTGTGAGCCCGAACAAAGAAAATCAATACATTTCACCCATCCATGCTAAATGGAAAAGTATCTTCACTGCCAAGTGTTGTATTCAATCAACTGCAACACCTATGGCTTCCTGAATATGCAAACAGTGACTACATCTGATAGGATGCAGTCACTGTTTGGCAGACAATTCTCCATCAGGCTCACTTGGAAGATGTTCTATGCATATCAGAATGGATTTGAATTTGTCCTGGTTATGTTACCAGCCAAGGCCTTAGATGGAAATGACACAAGCTAGGGTCTTGGATGCAAATGACAACCGGCAATAAAAACAGCATTGAACTACAACAAATGGGTTTGAAGGAAAAGGAAAAACAAACACAAGTGCATTCATGTCCACATAGTTTCACTCTATGGGTTGATTTACTAACACTGGAGCGCTCAGAATCTGGTGCAGCTGTGCATGGTAGCCAATCAGCTTCTAACTTCAGCTTGTTCAATTAAGCTTTGACAATAAAACCTGGAAGCTGATTAGTTTCTGTGCAGAGCTGCAGCATATTTTGCACCATGCAGTTTTAGTAAATAACCCCATATATATTCTTATGAGCGATTATTACCACAGCAAAAGTCTCACATCTGACATCGACATCTTATAATGGGTAGCATATAAAGAGAACTTAGGCTACATAACTATGGAAAGTGTATGTTCGCTCCCTCTCACGTAGCGAAAACAGAAAGACTCAAAGACAGGAGGTGTGGACAGAGCCACCCAAGGCTCAAAAATTTGAGCTGCTTCAGTATTTGCTAAAATTTGCGTTGTGCAAGGCCAGCTTTACTATGGGGTGGCTACTAAAAGGGGATCTTTATAAGAGTGATGTTCAGCTTTCAACAAACTTTTACTGCCAATTTTGAAGATATTAGCTGTCTGGTTAGTTCACTGGCTAATGTGATTAAAAGAAGTCTGTGTCACTGACCTCTAACAATTATGCACATCTGTTAAAGTGGTTGAAAACCTCAGGCATGAAATATTAAAAAGCACATCCCTCTATAGCAGGGGCGGACTGACAACTCATGGGGCCCCCAGGCAATAGGGGATCATGGGGCCCCTGTGTCCTTGCCCAAACTCCAAAAAAGCCTATGAAAAAGGTACCAGGGGCATCTCATGGGGCCCCTTACTGACCCCAGGCCCTCGGGAAGTGCCCGAGTTTCCAAATGGTCAGTCCGCCCCTGCTCTATAGTGTGTACTTATCTCAGAAAAGCACCAAGTGTCATTTCCTACTATCTACACGACTCACGCCTCACAAGTTTTTCCTAACACCAAGAGGAAAAAATGTGACAGGGAGGGCACAGCCTGTGAACCACAGCCTCATCTCTGTTCTTATTTGCTGTGTGGAGAGGGGGGTGTTCGTTCCCTCCAAACAGCTCTCAGAACTCTCCTCACTGAGTGTAACTTCAGCTTCCTGCCCCCTGCATTGCAGAGCTGAGAGATTCTGTGTAAATTCTGCACTTTGAATGTATGTAGGGGACAGACAGCTGGATAAATAGGTAAAACGTATGTAGGATTTGTTTCATCTCTATGTATCACCTGAGACCAATCACTTCACTGGGTATGCGTAAGGGTTTACAACCACTTTAAGTCAGACTTCCTCATCTGCATTCTTGTTCCAGGAAAAGGATACAATGTATGACGCAAGGGGGTGAACATAACAGTCAGTTTGGCATCGGCAAAATGACAAATAGCAATGGCAGCTTCCATGTCTCACTCAAGACAGGTGTTCTTTAAACAAAAGGTCAAATTATGCCAACATTTACACAGGGCAGCAAACTACAGATCTAGTGGAAAGAAAAAATATGTCAACCAAAATCTAAATAACACACATTAGGAAACTAAATATATAGTGCATAAATCAAATATAATAAACAGAATATATATACGTGAAAACAGATATTGGCCACATCAATAGTGTCTAAATTATACATAAATAATATATGCCATAAGTGAACAAGACAATATCAAAGGTGAAAAAAATTCCATGCATGTGACTGTGCTTTAACTGGAAAAGTGATCTCCAAAGTTACTCTCCTTCAAATGCAGCAATGCCTGCTCACCTTTCCTCGACACACAGGCCTCAAAGCAGTTACCACCTCAGTGGTGTATTCCTCTGGCAGACTCCTTATTCCTCCTCCTCTCTTATGCAACTCATAAAAAGACAGAAAGCCTTCTATTGTAAATTCTTAAAAGTTCATCAACCCTTTCCAGTGCCTGTGGGTAGATGTGCATGCAAATCCAATATGGCCACTGTGTACGTCACCAAGTAGACAAAAACCGACGCGTAGCGTCACGTGCGTCGTGAACTTCATCTGATGAATCACGACGCACGTCTGACGCTACGCGTCGGTTTGTCTACTTCCTGGTGACGTATGTCCGGACACAGTGGCATATTGGATTCCCCCAGGTGCATGCACATCAACAAAAAACGCTTTTTTATGGAAAGGAGCATGTGAGTGCTTTGTTTTTACACACTACCCAATAATGAGTCATATAATACAACTACATTGAGTGGTAACTGCTTTGAGGCCCTGTTGGGTCGAGGAAGGGAGGTGAGCAGGCATTGCTGCCACAAGCAAGGAGAGTTTGCACTTAAAGTGGAGAACGTGTGTGTTCCAGCTTAAAGCACAGTCACATTCATGGAATATCTTTTTCACCTTTGATATTGTCTTGTTCACTTATGGCATATATTATTTATGTATAATTTAGACACTATTGTATGTGGCCAATATTCTGTACACTAGTTCACGTATATATATTCTGTTTATTATATTTGATTTATGCACTATATATTTAGTTTCCTAATGTGTGTTATTTAGCTATTTTGGTTGACACTAACCATAGTCAACACACATGTTAGGTATAGTGGTCACTTTAAAATAATTACACTATATGGAGATCATGATTGTATTCATTGATACAAGCGGTTGCAGCATTTTTGTCAATTACCCCATGAGCGCAGAGTTAATAAACTGATCTATTGTTCTGTTCATCAACCTTCACCAGTGCCTACTAAGTGTGTTACCAGTATTCCTCCATAGATTATCAACAAGAAAGAAGGCTGCTTACACACAACCCAATAACAGCATATAATACAACTATTGCTTTTTAACAAGTTGGACAAGCAAGTTTATGGCAATGGGGACTTCCTTTTATCTGAAGCATGTTGTTCCATTTATCAGCACTGCATAGGTCATGTGGCCAAAATCAGGAATCAAATTCATAAGCGGTTGCGGTCTGTGACTGTCTATGTTGGTCTACAGTTTTATCTCAGATATCATCACTACTCAGTCTCCTGAAACGTTTACAGATCTACAGTATCTGTGAAAAATTTAAGTGACTAACCTAACTAGTAATTTTAATTCTGATGAATCTTTAAAGTGGTTTTAAACCCTTACATAATTCCTGTAAACAACAAACACTGTTAGTGACGTAAATAGCTTGTTTCGCCCAGGTTAGTCCAAATTAACTATTCAAAGTTAAATTGTTGTAATCTTTGCATATACCCAGTGAAGTGACTGGCCTCAATTGATACAAAGAGATTAAACAAATCCTCGTACATATGTTGAACCCATCTATTTGCAGTCCTCCCTTCTATACATCCATTCAAAGTGATGAATTTAAAAATTTGAGTGTTCGGGAAAAAGGGGGCAGAGAGCTGAAATTACACACTGCAGAGCTCACTGAGAAGAGCTCTGACAGCTGATTGGAGGGAAGACACACACACGCACCTCTGAGGCTGTCAAGCTGCTGGAGGTCCCTCCCCTGTCACCTTTTTTTTCTGGTAGTGTCCAGAAAAACATGTCAGAAGCATTTCAGGCTGATAGCAGAGGAACAAAGAAGCAGACAGAAACGGCACTCAGTGATCTTAATTGAGATAATTGAGGCATTGGAATATGCTTTGTTCATATTTCATGCCTGAGGTTTACAACCACTTTAAAGTGAACCTGTTCACTTTGCCCTAAATGGGTAGATTATTCAGTTCTATTTATGACCTACCTCCTCTGCTACTCATACTTATCTTACTTTTTAAAACTTAGAAATTCTGCAATCCTTGCAGAAAGAAGAGGGATAAGAGCAGGGATTTCAAATCCCCAGAACGCTACAGTGGCTGAGTCAGCACTGGGAGCTCATTACCCAATGAGGCAAGTACAACGGGGGACTGCGGACGTGGAGGGTGGGTTAAGGGTGTTAGATCATCTTTTCTGAAAATGCTAACTAACCCTTTGAATATGGACAATATACATAAACAGATACACACCTTAGTATCTACAGTTGGACCCTCCGTGTAGCCAACATCTTTCTTAAACTTTGTCAGGAAGGAGGGCTCTGCAGGCTTAACATAGGACACCCGATTCTTCTTACTCATGGCTGAAAGGCAACTGTACAGATAACAAAGTATTAACAAGAAAGTATAAAGATATTAGGTAAACACCAAGTGCATTCTTATTGATAAACTTACATTATGAGAATGAGCTTTAACACACAACCACTATAGGGCAGTATTGCAAAACAGAAAGCAGAGTCTAATGGCTGCTCCAATGAAAAGGTTATTAAACCGAATACCTTGCAAGCTCTGCTTTTTAGATTGTGGAGGGGGCACGGTTAGAATGGTGCAAACATATTTCTAAGTAAAGGTCCACTTTACGTTCAACAACAAGCAGGTTAAAATATAATTGTACAATTTTCTTTTTATATACCAATAACTGAGTAGTAAAAGGGCCTGTTTGACTGGATAGAAAACATACCCACATACCCAGCAAATCCAGCGTTGTTCAGCAGTACTCTTACCGTTTCCGTACTGCCAGCTTCCTCTCTTATGTCAGGAGCAGGAATGAGCTCAGGTATGTTCAGACACAAGTTCAAACTACCTGAGCTATCCCGTTGGGAAGCTGTCAAAGTTGACAGCCACTCATAGGCAGCTGAGGCATTCCCCTCCCCACAGCTGCACATTTGAAAGGGGTGTGTATACCTGCGGTGGTGGGGTAGGAATTGCTTCTGCTGAAAATGATTGGTCATTAGCTTGGGCAGATAGCTCAGACAGGTTCAGACTTGTGTCTGAAAACATCTGAGCTCACCACAAGTCAGGAGTCCACTATTTTTGAGTTTTGACTTTCTTCTAAGTCAGCCTTTCTCAACAAGGGTGCCCAGGCACCCTAGAGTGCCTTGAGGTTTCTTCAGGGGTGCCTTGCCAAAGTTTCTAAAAAAATTGCCCAAAGCTTGTATGCAAGCCAGCAGGTGAAACAAGCCTGCCTTTTAGTTACACAAAGCCACAGGTTTTCATTGTGCACCATTATGACCTTCTAGCCACAAGGGGCCTGACAACCAAAGACATGATCAGTTGATAAGGAGGATATTAGCTGCCTGCACAGCATCCTAGTTTGACCCTCCCATGTCCCTCTTCATCAGTGCTGGGGTCACATTAGCGCAGTGATAGAGAAAAACTGAGGGAGAGGAGAAACATTGGAATACTAATCAGTACCAGTGTGCAAAAGTGTATTTGCTTTGGAAGAATAAATCACCTCTAATGTTGGGTGTCCTACATGTGTGGATGTTGCTGTGTTATATAAAACTAAATAGAATAGTTTTTCACATTTTAGAATGGGGTGCCTTTTAAAATTATGGACAGTCTAGGAGGCACCCCATTTTAGAATGGGATGCCTCAACACTGTCCATAATTTTAAAGGGTGGCTCGGGACTGTCCATAATTTTATGGGGTGCCTCGACTGAAAAAAGGTTGAGAAACACTGTTCTAAATCACGCTCTTATCTCCGTACAATCAGCCTCTGGCCAGGTCACTGACTGGACCAAAACAAGAGTACAACTAGATAGAAGAGAGTTGGTTGAAGTACGCCTAAACTCCCCTCTAGTCATCTGGTGGCCGGCTGCAAACGAATCAGGAAATGGTGTACTGAAAAAGAAAGTGGGGTGAAGATCCTTTTTAATCTCAATGTATGTAAAGAGTATAATGACAGAAATGTGGGCACTTCCAGTACTAACATCCTTCTAAAAATTCAAGTCACCTGGCTATTTCTGGTTGCATTTTTTCGTAGTAATTGTGAACTGATCTGCATACCAGTTAAAGCGGAACTAAATGTGAATGATAAAAAAAATGAGCAGTGAGCTCTTTCTTGTCATGCTGTCTTTTCTGCAATAACACCTGCTTCTTTGCAGTTTTTATTGAATGCCCACTGCGCCGTGCATGCAAAGCTCTACTGTGCATTCCCAGCAAAAGATGGCTTTGTAGGAATAATGGACTCCTGTGAGAATGTGCTGGATGAAATCATTTCCTGACCGACCAATCAAGAGGCTGAAAACCCAGCACCCCAGTATGGCCGAGGAGAAGATGGCAGCGGCAGGTGAGGGATTTAACCACCTGTGAAATTTGGGGTTTGTTAGCTCAATAGTAGAGGCATTTTTAGTGAGACCATGCCAGTCCCAATTGTGTTTAACCACTTACCTACCAGGTAATTTTACTCCCTTCGTGCCCAGGCCAATTTTCAGCTTTCAGCGCTCTCACACTTTGAATGACAATTGCACGGTCATGCAACACTGTACGCTTATGAAATTTGTATCATTTTGTTTTCACACAGGTAGAGATTTCTTTTGGTGGTATTTAATCGCTACTGGGCGTTTTATTTTTTTATACTATAAACGAAAAAAAAAAAAAAAAAAAAAAAGCAAAAAATTTGAAAAAAAAAAAGCTTTTCTTTGTTTCTATTATAAACATTTGCAAACAGGTACAATTTTCACCATCAAAACAGGCACAATAAAAATAATACAGTGCTTCCAGGCTCTCTCTTCAGTAATGCCATTGCTTAAGACTTAAACCTTGTCCTTTGGCTGGTCCCTGAGACCATCTTACACAGTGGGGTCAATTCTCTAAAGGATTTCTCATGTGACAGAGTCTTGTGACCCATTTTTTGGAAATATTGCATGAGATAATAGAAGCTGGACGGACTGACAACTCATAGGGCCCCCGGGCAATAGGGGATCATGGGGCCCCTGTGTCCTTGCCCAAACTCAAAAAAGCCTATGAAAAAGGTACCAGGGGCATCTCATGGGGCCCCCTACTGACCCCGGGCCCTCGGGCAGTGCTTCGAGTTTCCAAATGGTCAGTCCGCCCCTGAACAGAAGAATCAATTCATCAAAGTAAAATATAAACTAGGAAGTAAATTCTGCATATGTTAAAAAATGTGTGGTAAATACTGCAAAAAAAAAAGATAAATAAAATCAATTCACTAAAGCACACACAGATTCGTTATTTATCACCTGCCAGTAGGTAGTTGGTATGTTAGGAATGTACAAAACAAACAATATGGGAACTCTGCACTGGCCAGTAAATTAAAAGTATACAATGTATCAGTGTGGAAATGTTCTGCCCTGAGCCCAGCAATGAAAATAAATTGTAACATTTCACCAGAGGAAGCTGGTTCTGTGATTAAAAGCACACTAGAATGTTTTCACAGATTCATAACATTTCTGTGTGCATTTATTTACAGAACTACTGGATCTTCCTCTGATTCAGTGTTAGCAACTTAAAAAAAAAAGTGGAAAAAAAAGCATGCAAAAAATAATGCTAAATTTAAGTTATAATATTGCAAAACCAATAGTTAACAGATTCGGTAAATAATGCATGTTTTTTAATGAATTGATGACATTTGAGACAAATACCGCATTAGTTATTTTACCTCAAAAATTCATGTGGTTTTTATCTCTTAGTGAATTGACCCCAGTGTCTGTGTCCCTGGCTCTCTCAGCCCTTTTAGTTGCAGCAGCCTGCTGCGTGGGCCCACTCCCTGACCTCTTCATAGGGGTTCTCCAGACACCCTGGTCTTCCTCAGTCCTGGACTTGCCTAGTTGACTCAACTTCCTCAGTCTTCCAGACTAGCTCAGCCACCTTAAAGTGGAGCTCCACCCAAAAGGGGAAGTTCTGCTTTAAACCCTTAGTCCCATGCTCCCAGTTAAGGATTGGCACCTTCAGGGAGCGGGGAAGGGAGTACCCGAATTTGACAGGCACTTGCTCCCAAGCGGAAGTTGTCCTCCCTCCCTGTAGTCTTGTGGGACACGTGACAGGTCCCAGACTATGGGACCATTCACAAAGCGCAGCACTACTCGCACTTGCGCAATGGGTACATGGCTGCGAAGCCGCAAGCTGTCACAGCCGGGTGCCCATAGTGAAGATGCTGGAGCCAGGGAGAGGAGACTTCCAGTGAAAGCAGCCATGGCGAGGATGCTGCTGAATCAAGGGACAGGTAAGTGTCTGTATTTTAAAAGTCAGCAGCTACAGCTTTTGTAGCTGCTGACTTTTTTTTTTTTTTTTTTATTATTCAACTGGAACTCCGCTTTAACTCTGTCAGGCCTCTGGACAAAGAATCTCCTGTGTCCAGCACAAAATGCTGTCTCCTGAGTGGAGCACACCTGTCTCCTAACTGGAGCTCTGAACTATGCCCAAACCTGTCATTAGAATGGGTGTACACCCTTGCACAGGGGCGGACTGACCATTTGGAAACTCGGGCACTGCCCGAGGGCTCGGGGTCAGTAGGGGGCCCCATGAGATGCCCCTGGTACCTTTTTCATAGGCTTTTTTGAGTTTGGGCAAGGACACAGGGGCCCCATGATCCTCTATTGCCCAGGAGCCCCATGAGTGTGTCAGTCCGCCCCTGCCCTTGCGCACACAGCTCGCTGGTCTTCTGTAAGACCTGGACACTTCTGGGTTGGAGACTTCTTCCCTTCCCAAAACTCTTTCAAGTCTCCAAACTCCAGAACCCAATCTGGGAATGCCAAAACCTGGAGAAAACCAAAAGATAATTTTTCTCCGTTGTAAACAGATATTCCAGAGCCCCGCACTGCGATCCCTGTATCATGTCTACTTCCAATTTCTCAATGGAAGGGCCTTGCACTGTCACACACCACATCACTGAAAAGAGGGGGTAAGCATTTCTTTGCGGTTGGCTCTGCTTAGTTCGGTTGGCTCTGCTTTAAAGCATTGTAAACTGCCATACACAAAAAAAAAAAAAAACCACACAATCGGGCCTCTTCAGGTTTAAGTCATAATGTACCGGTATGCACCGCATAGCAGCACCTTATGACAGACTTAGCGGGAAGGCTTTTTTTCCCTCAGGATAGGTGCAGAAACTCCCTCTTTCCGAGTCACTCCTTGTTCCCACCTCTGAGCACAATTCCTTGGTTCCACCCCCTACCCACCTCTCAGGATCGTCCCTTTAAAAGAATACAGAACCAAGTATCATTTTGTGATGCTAAGTAAATCGTATGGAATTTGTTTGTGATAACAAGAAAAGCAGTAAAATAGATCCCCAGCAGCGACAATAGATCCTCCCAGCAACCCTATACCCATCCCCAGCTCAC